ACGCAGTCATCTTGGATTAACGCAGCTGAGATGCCTCAGACACACCTGAGCACGTAAGACTAAACGGCGGGTGGCGCATCCGTGATCACAAACTCAAATTTTTCGTGTGCGTGTGGTGGTGGCCCAATCACACATTCTAGACGCGCATGCATAGATGCGTCAGTACGCGCGCCATTCCATTGGCGAAGCAGTCGTGTGATTTTCCCGCGATCGATAAACATGTGTGCAAGGAGTTGCTTTAACAGTAAACTTTAGGGTAAGGAAGTGCAGAACTACGATTGGGTATGAGTACCAGCATACATTAGTGAGAATTTGTCGAGAAAAAAACTAAAAAAGGTGTATCAAAGCAACCAATGATCACAATAAATGCGTAGTTCACTGGAACTAATTCTTCGCTTATCGGCTTCAATTGACAGAATCCGCAAACACTTGTAGATATTCGTTTTACAACCTTGACAACCAGAAAACTACAGAAAACCATCAGTTATGTATAAATGTTCGGTATTCAGTAACACGACTTTGTCAAATATTCCTGTTATCAGGAGAAGTTTCAGTTACCAAGAATAATTTTTTTATTACATGTTTTCGCGTGAGTGCGATGCAAAGGGTATATCCACTTTAGCCACGAGGGTCCACCGCACTATCGGGCATAGCCGGTAACCGAACCCTGAGACTTGGAGTAGCGAAACATCACGTAAGGTCCCAATAGATCAGGTGTGGTAACGAGCCGGACGACCGTGGATTACTGCCTACCACCAAAGTAACCGGTGACGGCGGGGATTCGCACCTCGGACCTCCGTGATGGTAAGCAAACCCTCTAAACCACTCGACCACCACCGCCAATGCGAGTTAGCAATCGAATAGACAGGCGAATTCGGGTGACCCAACCTATCCACAATAAGCGAGCATATATTCGTAAAAATACCACTAAACGGGCCGTCTGAATGAGTATGCATATTTGTGTAATTACTTGGGGGTTACAAGTTGCACTTTGGAAATAATGATTCCTAGATATCGATTTCGTTACTCTCAATTTAGTGTAGGTAACCTGACGATTTTTTCGGCTGGTGCAGAAAAAAACTCAAAACCTAACTGTTGCCAACGTTATCAAGCCAAGTCAAAATGTGGTCTTATTTGCCCCAGAGCATGGATTTTTAGCACTATACTCATCGGCGAGTTATTCGTTGGATGAAGTCATTGTGCATTCAAATAATTGAAGAATAAAATATATTCATCATGCAGCTTCAACGCTCAACTCACCATTGAAAACCATAGAAGCACTGTACAGTTATTTCGTCCTTGTTGGGAATCATCAGCAGTGCACATCCACCGAGCCCCCACGGGGACTCGAACCCGGGGTGAGCTGAGCGTTGAAGCTGCATGATGAATCATATTATACAAACCTAATCTCTTACTACTCAATTGCATATAGTAACGAAGGTCTGTAGGCTGTTCATAACTGAAGGCCTTCGTTGTATTTAGGCTCCTAAAGTGCGTTCGGATTGCACTGGGCATGAAAGCTGAGCGTGCACTACCAGGCTGGATTCCAGTCAGCAGTCGTTTGTGTGCAGTTCGTTTGGACGGTTCTGTTCGTGTCAACAATAACAAACTGAAGCGCCGATGTTTGTTCCTCGTGTCTGTGTATGCGCCCACTGACTGCAGCTAATCTGAGGCCAACGACGAATTCTATCAGAATCTGTCTCAGCTACTTCGAAGCGCACGTTCAACGGATGTGGTCATTGCTCGAGATTTTAACGCTTAAGTTGGCCGTTTGGGAGATTCCGAAAGGCACATTGAAGGCCTATTTGCTATCCCAGTCGATCGTATCGATAACGGCAATCGTCTCATTCAGCTGTGTTCTGACCACGGATTGTTTCTGGCAGGTACGAACTTCTGTCATAAGGTGCGGCATAGACTCACATGGCATTATTCTATATCCTCGCAATGCTGGACTCAGATTGACCATATTGTGATTGGTCACCGCTGGCATGGATCAATTGAAAACTGTCGTTCATTTCGGTCTACGCCTGTGGACCCCGATCACGCCATGGTACGTGCTCGCTTCCGTTTACGTTGTGTCCGTGGTTGCACCAAATTAAATGCCACTTGTCCCGTACAGTTGCTTTTAGACAATAACCAGCGACACAGTTTCCAGATAAAGCTGTCTACGTAGTTATCGATGCGGCCAGATGTTCAGGACCAAAATGAACGCTGACAACAGGTCAAGGAAGCTTTGTATGCCGCTTCGAATGTCAAACAAGACTCTGGTTCAAGTCGGTCTCAAAAACAATGGATATTTTCGACATCAGTTGCTCTGTTGGACGCTCATAGATTCATCCCTCCGGATGCCACGTTCGATGAAGTGCGTAAATCCCTGAGAAACCAACTGATTAGGAGCCTGAGGAATGACCGCGAGCAGTGGTGAATTCCGAAATGTAGAGAAATGGAAAGGACTGGGTCCATTGGCAATACTCGCAACCTTTTCTGTTTGGTTAGAAATACCGGTCCATGGAAATCCGGTGTAAGTGAGTTATTCAAGAAATCCGACGGCCCACTGATTCATTCTCAGGGACGTCATCTTGGTGGTTGGGCGGAGCATTTAAATGGACAATTCAGTTGGCCCACTTCTACAGTGGACCTCCCAAATATACCTGCCAGAGGAATGATGAAGACGGACATCACTCCTCTATCAGAAATGGAGTTTATGCGGGAGATCGGTTACTTGAAACGAGGCAAAGCCACTGGGTTGGGTGGGTTGTCTCCACCTTTTTCGAACGATGAGGGCAAAGCTTAGGCTTAGGAGTTAACAAAACTCCTCGGAATTATTTGAAAAGTGAAGAGATTCCCAGGGAATGGTATGAATTGGTGGTTGTGCTGATTTACAAGAAAGGTGACAGGTCCTTTGTGAAAACCACAGTGGAATTGGCTTGGTAAGTATTGCGTCTAAACTGCTCAACGAGCTTATTCTTCACAGATTATCCAGTACCCGCAAAATGTGTACGCGTGAGAATCAGGGCAGTTTCAGACCCGGTCGGGGTTGTATCGACCACATCTTTACTCTTCGACAAATCTCAGAGCACAGACACATCTTCCGCGGGCTCACAGCCTCTGTCTTCCTTGATTTGAAAGTGGCGTTCGATTCAGTCGACCGCACAGTTCTCTGGCGCTGCCTCTCATTGAACGGTGTACCAGACGACTTTATTTCTCTCTTCCAATGCTTGCATGCGAACAGTCGAAGCGGATTCCGTGCTCACGGCTACCTTTCACCCGAGTTCACCACGGAAAGTGGTGTTCGTCAGAATTGCCCCCTTTCCCCCTTCCTCTTTAATTTTGCAACTGAATTGATTCTTAGGGCGACCCTATCGTCGTATGAGAATAGCAGCATTGATCACTGCTCAGGCAGTAAGCTGTCTGACCTGAAATACGCGGACGATATTGTTCTTCTGGGTGAAGATCCAGGTAAGTTGCAAGCTCTTATAGATAGCCTTTACAACAATGTTTGGGATGCGTTTTGCACCTTCAAAGTGTAAAATACTGCTACGTGACTGGGTTGGCTCAACACTAAATCTTGTCTTGGTAGGAGAAGCTCTAGCTAAAGTCAATAAATGTTTGTACCTGGATAGTTACATCTCACCAGGTGGACAGATATCGGATGAAGCGTTATCGCGTATACAGAAGGGGCGTTTGACTTTTGCCAACCTCAGCCATCTGTGGCGTCGGCGTGATATCTGTTAAGGGTCAAGTGTACAATGCGGCGGTTAGGTCTCTTCTATACGGCTCAGAAACACGGTCGTTAAGGTTAAAAAATAGACGAACACTGTCGGTGTGAGCAACAATGTCTCCGTAGCATTGCCCGAATGTGGTGGGAAAACCATATCAGCAATGCTGAGGTTAGGCGTAAGGTGTTAGTAACCAGAGGTCAGTCTGTGGATCAAGTACTGAATCAAAACAGGTTAAGGTGGTTGCGACATGCGTTACTTATGTCCACCGATAGACTTCCTCGGCGCACGCTGTTCTCCGAGGCAGTTAATGGTTGGAAAACAGGTCGAGGTGGTCAGTTCATGATATGGCAAGAAGGTATTAAAACCTTGACCAGTGTACTTGGCCGAGTAGGAGATGTTAGACTTTCAGGTTTGGGTCCACGCGACCCAAGTACCAAATGGTTGAAGACATTGTGATATGGCTAGGTGTCGCGGCCAGTGGTGTGGTTGTATTTGGATTCTTTCCTTGTGTTCGTGATTTCCGCTTATTACTTTGATTTTTTGAATCTCCAACTCTATGCTTCTGTTCTTCTTGCTGTTTACTGGATGATGCTGAAAGGTAGCAACCGAAATCACAGCACTGAAGTGCGAGGTCAATGGTTGAATAAACGGATTTGCCTCGTGGTATTTGCCTCACTTTGCTAACTAACAAGGTTTTGAGTAGTAAGCTGCGAAATTCGACCTCTCCAGGGTTTTTACCCATGTCTTGTCCACACTGTACGGTTCGCTATTTGCGAGCTCTGTGCACGCCTGGAATAAACGATGTAGTGACGAGTTTACAAGCATTCTTGCCACATACATTTGATTTCCCGTTGGATTCCTATTTTAGAAAGCATTCCGACGCGGAGAAAGTTCCCCGAGGACTTATATCACTGATATTTACCCACAATAACGCCTTTTACCATAGATAATTGAACAAATAATAATAGAACAGCCAAGGAATTTCTGAAGTTTTTCAGTAGTGAGTGAGGTGTTGAACCTCTATGACAAACGACACCTTATTCACCGTCTACTTCAAATTTATTATCGTGTAGTCTTGTTCCGTTACGCAGAAAACGCTGAACAACTCAAGGAATCTTACCACGGTGAATCAATCCAACTAGTTTGATTACAATTATTATCTTTGGAAGCAGAACGAAGTGGTGATTGGAAAAGGAAACAGGAACCCAGTGAAAGCAAGGAGCAGAATAAATGAAACACTTAAATCTTGTCTGAAAGTACATTAATAGGTGAACTTACCTCGGACCATTCAAGGGGTTTTCGAAAGAAAACCTGCGGCTGAATCAAGAGAGCAGTGACTGTGCGTAGTGAGAATTTCTGAGATAGCTGCTGTTCCTCTAGCGCCGACAGTGGCGCATGACAGGAATGCGTTGCTAGGGGATACCACACTGGTGCGTAGCCCCGTAGTTGCGCTAACTGAACAGGACTTCGTCCAATCAGATTCGGGCGATCCACATCCCATGAGTACGGTTTCTCGCAAAGCAAGGAGGCGCAAATCGCAGCCGACTGGTGCACAGCAAACTGAAAGTGGAATAATAGTATAGAATAGTATGGAATAATAGTATGCTTCTGTAATTAAAAGGGGTAATAAATCCTCTCCAGAATTTTCAAATAAGTAAATAAATGACGTTAATTCAGCACTCAGCGGTTTTTAGAAAGGCGACCGGTGTGACGCACTAACTTTTAATACACATAGCCACACCCAACTCAGTATACGTAGTAGTCGTGGTTGCACGCACTGGTTACTCTTCACCAGAGCAGGATATTTAAGTCATGTCAGACCGGCCCACAAGTCACTCAGTTCTAATTTTGTCCCTAACTAATTCCAGTGACGCAGTCAGTACCATTCAACCATATCGACGTTTGAGCACGATCCCAGGCCCAAACAAGTCGGTTTCAACCAACGAAATAGATGGCGTTAAGCTGCGATTTCAGCATCTACACATGTTTAGTCTATTCCGGCACACGTCCGCACTCAAGTATGCCAATCAACCACATGTCAATCGACCGAGTCGCACTGATCGTATCATGACTGACTGCGTTTGAATTGACATTACCGTTCGCATCACCCTGCATGCTTGTGCTTCTGATTACACATACTGAGTCATCTCTACCTTCTGAAGTTGATCTGAGCTTTTGAGTAAATAATGAATAGCCATCAGTTACAAAGAGAAAACTGACCGAACTAAGCCTATAAAAAGTCGAACATGGGTGGGATCAGTGCTAGCTTTTGAAATACTTGGAAATTTTAATTGCTTAAAACTTGTTAGATGTGTAGTATTTCATCACAGTACCGCGCTTTTGGTTCGAAGGTCTCATTTGCAGACAACGGTGACTTCATCTAAGACAAGAGAGCTTTTTTATAACAGAAACCCAAGATGTCAAAAAGCAACTATGCGCAATGGATCTTCGAATAATTTTAGGTGACATTAGCTTAAGAGTGAATGACGGATGAGAGCATTCGTTTACGTCTATTTAGTAAAACTTGTATAAGGAAGAAACTGAGTAAGATTCCTCAATAGAATGACATTTTATGACAAACTCATAAAAAACTGAATCGACTGGTAAAAGTCCATGCATAAGTTCGTAACATTCAACATGCGCTTTTCACAACTCCTAAAACAGAGTGGCTTGTGTTTCAATGCCATCACGACGAGAATGCAACTTGGCGTGATGTGATGTCTTGCGTGTCTTCGTGACCCAAAGAACTAAGCAGGATGGCTTCCTTAAGCCGGAGATGCAATCAGACCTGACACGTCAATGAAAAGAGGCCGGACAAAGTCCAGTCTCTGAAACAGTTGATAAGCAACATCTGATTCTAACCGCTATGCCCCTGGAGACGACGCTCCAGTGGGTAAACACGGAGAAACAGTTTACCGGTCTAAAAACCACCGCATGACGTGGGCGTGGAGTACCCGGGGGTTTCTCTCGACGTTGGGAGAAATAATTGCACTTCTTTGGGCAGCTATCCACCGCCTAAGCTGGGCAGCCCCCAGCCCAACGGATGCTTCCCCGTCCACGTTCCCCTTCCTCCAGTGGGCGCATGGAGCTTAGGGCTGAATCCAAAAAGCGGATCGACAACAAAGCACCAGCGAGGCAAGAATTTTCGTCAATCTCTTTGTGCTCCCTACCTAACTACAGTGCATTGGCATACAATTCGAAGAGAAAATGAAAATACGGTCCTAATGAATGATTTTCAAGGCTTCAAAGTCAGAGGTGAAAATTCACCCGTGAACTCACATGCAATAGATTTTCTTTTGCTTGAGAATTGACATAAGTGTCCTCTTTAATGATTTGCCTGTTATCTGCTGGACTCAACAGTCTAACTAATTTGTCTTCATCGTCTTCTCGAACTGCTTGCTGAGCCTGCTCGATTGGACCGCATACATCATCCAGGAAGTCGAATAAAGTTTTAGTTGTCATTTCGGTCAAGAAGACAATCTGGTGATAGCTACTGAAAAAGAAAGTAGAGAGAGGTGAGTGAATATAATAAACAATTAGACACGTGTCGAAAACAGCTGTTTTTGTCGTCACTCAAGACTCGAACTCATGCAGATGTTTGTGCTTCTCTTACAGCCATTTTCGGGGCCACGCATCGTTCCCTCGGCTGGTTGAGCTCCGAGGCCTTCCAATCACTGTTTGCCTCCCATATGTCTGGGATTTTAACACGGATATGCTGCGCCATCGGAGATGGCGAAACTGGAGGTGCAACGCTTCGTCACAAGACCCGTCATGACGAGTTTGCAGTGGCTCATGTGGGACCAGCTTTACGGACTGTCTGATAGCTTTGGAGCTTTCCCCCAGATACTATCGGCGAATTCGTGACGACTTGAGCAGGCTGAAAAAATACGTCATAGCGACATCGGTTCGGGATTGAAAACAGAGTTTCTTCTTTGGGTGAATGAATGGATGCGAGGCCATTACCTAAAGTTACGGAAGCTTACGTCGAGTGGTTTGCTATCTTTCACGAGTGGCGACCAATCTTTGGAACGCATTAGCAGCGGCGGTTGCGGATGAGAAAGATTACGCTTGGTTCAGAAGTTGTTTCTATGCACACTTGGAGGTAATGTGGAGGAGCGTCTAGTGACACTAGATCCATTACTGGCAATCAGCATCACTTCTTCAATCCCATGTGTAAACTCTGCTTTATCAGTGCGAACAAGGCTATCCCTGGTTTGACCGCTAAAATGGCACATTTCTTGCGATTCCACACTGGTCGTTTCTTGCTGTGTTTCTGCCCTATAGATTTGCATAAACTGGGTTTGCAGACATGGTCATCCTTCCAGTGTTGTCTTCCACAACAATCTTCGAAGGTTACAACCTTTAAATGAATCAACCAGGCAATAGACGCTCAAGAGCCACTTGGACACGTGCCGGCACAACGACCTTCGTTTAATAGCAAATATGATCGGCAATAGAGGCACAATGGTCGAAACTACACCAGCCACCAGCCCAAATAAGAACATAAGTCAAGACGCTGACCAACAAGGTCCGCAGACCCACCAGAACCTAGACCATGTGGTTCAGGGAGTGCAGAACTCGGCTGCTTATATAGGTTCTGCTAGGTCGGGTTCCATTGACGTTGGAAATCAATAGGCAACTAGGTGTAGTCTTGAAGTCGAGCCCAATTGTCCCGGTTCTTGAGGAAATCTTTGATCTTCTGTCGGATTCACCGAGTTGAAAAGAGAGCAAAAAGAAGCGGGGGGGGGGGTGGCAGCGAAAACAAGATACACATAACATCATGCAGTGTCTCACTGTGGACAGTGCCTAAAGCGGAGTGGGGGTGCCACATTCATGAACATACATGCGATAAAAGACATCTATTTTGTTTTTTGACAAGGAATTATTGGGAGAGACCCAGGTAGAGGTCTAGCTTTTTCTTGAAGATAGTTTTGTTCTGTGAGAGAACAATATCTTTTGGAAGTGCATTCCACATTGTAATAACCCTATAGCTAAAAAAGTTAATCCTTAGTGAAGTGCGTGGCCTCGGTTTGAAAACTTTTCTGCTGTGACCACGGAGAGAAAAGGCTGGACAGACGGAGAAGAAGCAATCGCTTTGACCTGTTTCAAACAGGTGGAACATCAAAAACAGATCACTTCTTACGCGTCTTACGTCAAGGGGATAGAGGTTGAGGAGTGAGAGGCGGACGGGATAAGGAAGATGGGATAGACCCCTTACTGCCTTGGTGGAGGCCCGCTGAACTCTTTCTAGGATCTCACGGTCTCGGACAAGACCAGAGTGCACTATCTGACTACCGTACTCCAGCAGAGGTCGGATATACGTGCCGAAAATCATGGGGAAATCATCCCTAGATATGCGCGGGAAGGACCTTCGAATCATGTTTAGGACTCGAAAGGCAGACTTGCTCGCAAGTTCGTGATGATGAGAGAAAGAAAAGTTACAATCTAGCCAAAAACCTAGCACACTGTGTCGGTCAACCCTTGGCAGTGTGGTTGCTCCATTAATGGAAAACGTGTGACCAGTCTCTCTGCCGAAAGACATGCTCAAGCATTTATCATCATTGACTGGGAGGTTCCAACCCTCGCACCAGCGTTTCGTTTCATAAACTGCAGTTTGCAGGTCGTCAACGCTTGAACTCCAGAGGGTTACATCATCAGATGGGTGAAGTCTGTGTGGCTTTTCAAGGAGCCTAGTAAGTCTATGAGACCTAGGCTGTCAGTTGAATTGCATGCGGGAGGACGATAGACAACACCAAGCAATAGGGTGTCTGTCCTAGAGAGGGTAAACACAGCCCACAAACAATCAATACATGAAAAGGTGGGGGTGGCCAGTGAAGTGGGGGGAGTGATCGAATTATCGTAGTATATGATGACCCCGCCGGCACGACCTCTACTGGAGTCCTGCCTTACTGTGGAGTATCCCGGAATGGATATTTCGGCATCAAGTATGTCGGGGTGAGCCAGGTTTCTGTGAGGGCTATGATCTGAGGCTCCTTATCCACTGCAAGCTGCCGAAGCTCCGGGATCTTATTCAACACACCCAGGCAATTGTTTTACAAACGCTTCAGCACATGCTCAGTTGTTGCAGAATTGCCAGAGACAATTGATTTTGGGTTTGAGGAGTGGGAAAGAGGGGGATTTGGGGATGGAAAGGAGGTCCTGGGGGAGTCGGGGGCTGAAGATATTGGGGGGGCTAGAGAGTAAGCAGACTTCGGGGGGACCGGTAAGTTATGATGTCTAGTAACCTGGAGGTATCATACAAGGCGGACGGTCTATATCCTTCGGTCTCCGAAAAGGGTGGACTGCTTTTTGTGGTTTGCCCTTCTGCGCACTACGTGATGCCCTGTTCTGAGTTTTCTTGTTGGTGAGCTTGTTTTTCATGACAGCACCAGATACATTTTCTGGTGCGTTAACCTCCTCACTGCATCTTTCAGCAGAAACTGGTTGCAGGTTCATGTCTGGGCTCAAGGACGAGTGAGTCTCGTCCGTTGAAATAGTCTTATTGTCTATGTTGGGGCCTGGGATACTTCTCGTAGACGACAGATGTTTAGTGGCACTAAGGCCTACTACTGGCAGTGCTTTCGGCGACGGGAAATGGTGTCAGTAGGGAAGCGAGGGATGGTGGGCATGCAGCTCGGTCCTCGAGGCGACTTACCTGGACAACTGGCAGCACTCTGAGCTTGGGATCGGCTTTCTGTGGAATTTCTGGCCTAGCCTTCTCACTGCGGAGCCTCAGATGAAGTGGCTTATCAATGGATACGCCCTTGAGCCCTTTGATTTCCTCCTTGAGCTTTGCGGCCGAGGAAACAATTCGTGTGGCTGCATCTGTGGAGCCCATTTCAATGAGAATACCGTGAACCCGGTTGGTGCGTTTGGTTACAACCAAGTGGATCGACCTTTAAGTGGGAAAGGGGGCTTAAGGCGGTTAAACACCTGGGCGTAGGTGTCACGAGGGTGATCCGAACTGAGGAAGCGACCCCAAAGGATGACTCGCTTGGAGCAATTCTCGTTGTCTGGTAAAATCTTGGCGGCGTCAAGAATTTGCTGCTCAGAAACTCTAAACACCTGATCGGCTGCCTGGGACACCGGGAGGGATTTTATTACCAAACTCCTCAGGCTGGTCAGCTCATCCTTAAGGGTGCGGACAGTTCAGTTCAGTTTGCACAGGAGTTGGTGTGGCTAGAGCCAATCGTGTGTCCAGATAGTTGTGTTGTCGGCGCGTTTCCGTAGCTCCCAACACTGCGTGATTTTCTTTTCCTGAAAGGCAGAAATTTTGTGCAGTATCAGCCCTGGCAGAGTAAGGTGGAAACAATAAGTAATTTGCATCTGACCCTAAAAGCTGCTTAACATATCTAGGGGTATACTGCCACCCAACATAGGTCTACTGCTTTCTTAAAAGCCTTCACTGTTGTGGTATTTATGACCTCTTCCGGGAGCTTATTCCAATAGGGTACCACTCTATTTGAGAAGTACTTCGCTCTAATTTGGAGCCTCGAATGTTTCCTTTGTAATCTAAGGCTATGCCCCCTTGTGCCTCTCTCGGGGATCAGAGAAAAAAGGTCTTCTCGACTTATTCCTGACAGTCCTTTCATTACCTTGAAGGTTTCTATCAAATCCCCGCGAATGCGCCGTCTTTCCATCGAGAATAGGTCTAGGGCACGGAGACGCTCTGTGTAGTTAAACCCCCTTTGCCCAGCCACCATTCTAGTGGCTAGCCCTTGCACTTTCTCCAGACAGTCGATATCTTTCTGGTAGTACGGTGTCCAGGCCTGCACGCAGTACTCCATATGCGGCCTAACTATGGCCTGATATATCGAAACGAATATCTCCGGATCTCTACACGACATAATGGATCTAACTCGAAAGAGTTCTCTCCTGGCCGTATTGGCTGCTGAGGTGCCCTGCTTTGACGGCTTAAAGTTTTTGTCCATTGTAACGCCCAAGTCTTTGACCTGCGAGACTACTTGCAACGAACCCACACCATTCTTACTAGCCCCTGTATTTGTGGTCAAGCATTGACACTTGGTGAGGTTTAGTGGAAGGTCCCATTTGCGTGCCCAGTTTTGTACTGTTAACACGTCAAGTTCTATATCTACTCCAGCTATCTTGACGTCATCGGCAAACATAAAGGTGGGGTTTGTGAGCCCATGTGTTAGGTCGTTGATGAAGATGAGGAAGAGCAGAGGGCCCAGCACCGAGCCCTGTGGCACCCCACTTGTTACACCTTCCGGTTTTGAAACATGACTCCCCACCTTAACACTAAAGGTTCGCCCTGCTAAGAAACTACTTATCCATTGTCTTGCCTTTCCAACAATTCCCATGGACTGCAGTTTGACGTCCAGAAATCTGTGGTTCACGGAATCAAACGCCCTGCTGAAGTCCAAGTAACATACCGCAATCGATTGCCCTTCGTCCAGACGCTTGGTTACCTCATCGAGGAACAGCAGGAGATTCGTCAGACA